CTCTTTCGACTCATTTTTGAAGAAAATACAAAATATGTCCTTGAAGGAGGACCAACAATCTATTTCTACCCTAGCCCACCACAGCTGTTTCAAGGCCTAGAAAAATCCAACAGTGAAGGAACAGTGATCTGTCCTGGTACATGGTCAAAAGCAAGCAGGCTATGTCAACCGGATCTCAAGCAAACAATCTTATTCTGTCTGGACCCTCTAGCAGTAGCTAGCACGAAGTCAAATGCAATATGAAGTGGATGGCTGAAAACGCTTATTCAAACGGGCCAGTAACACTCATTGTTTTATATAAGTGCTTGAACTTATTTGTGGCAACTGAACATGCATATGGTTCCTTAAAGCAAAAAAAAAAAAAAACCAAACCAAAACCATCCCACCGCCCACCAAAAAAATCCACCACCACCAAAAGCCAATGTAAAAGCTAACTCCTAACTGACGATAGTAGGTGAGAACCTATGGGAAAGTATTATCCCACCCTTTGGGAATGGTCTTGACTGATATTGGCTAAAGAAATAAGATCTTGAAATTTTATTCCATTGGAAATATATACACCAGCCACCTCTGCGGGACAAGGACATTAAAGGTCACAGATGCTGGCTCTGCAGCAGGCCAACCTATTCCGCAAAGAAGCCAACCAACCATTAAAAAAGATATTTTTTTTTTTCCCCAAAACACAGGCCTCAAGCCATGTCGATCCACAGGGGGAACAGAAGAATATATGCTAATGAACTCTCCTTTTGGACAGATCTTTACACTCAGTTCAGAAAAAAAAAAAAAGTATAAATACCATGGCTGTATAATTGTAGCCAAAGTACTATTTACTGGGCAAAAAGAAGAAAAGCTGGATATATAGCCTCAGAATACTTTAAAATCCTACAGCTTTTTACTTCTTGTGCTTTTTGCCCATCTTTTAACACACTGCTGATCATGTCAGTAAGCAGGCAGAATTCTTCTACTATTATCCTGTATTACAATTCTCAGTTCCCTGGATCATGCTAAAGGAAACAATAAACTGCCCACCTGTTATTAACAAACGCAAATAAACAAGAGGTGGTAGCAGCCCCATCCCTGGAAACATTCAAAGTCAGGTCAGACAGAGCTCTAAGCAACCTGATGTAGCTAAAGGCGTCCCTGCTCACTGCAGGGGGGTTGGACTAGATGACCTCCAAAGGTCCCTCCCAACCCAAACTATTCTGTGTTTCTATGATTTCTTGTTCCATTATTTCATCATTATTATTTGTTATTACAATTTCCCTAAGGCTTAAAAAGTTCTTACACTGTATTCAAATGGGAGTCCAAAACTAGAATTTAAGGCTTCCTAAATACAGGAATAAAATACTGCTAGACTACCACTACAGTTAAGACTCATAATTAACATATTAGATCACAGTGAATTTAATGTGTGAATTCCAAAATCAAATATTGGCATAAAGATGTATACTCAAAACTAAGCTTTGCACTAGTCACAGAAAGGAAACTATCACAAAACAAAAACTAGACCTATTTTACCTTATATGTATTTTGACACATCTGGAGTTTTACCAATTTAAGGAAAATAAGTAAGTTGACTGAATGTTCATCTGTTCAAATGTCATTACAACTACAGACACACATTCTATTATCCAACATAATATCTATTATGAAAGCACGCCTATAAAACTTAATACAGAATGATGTTTAATAACAATTAGTGAAGTTAAATTAGAAAAATAACATGTAAGAGTAGGACTTAAACATTTCACTATTTGCTTATTTCCTACTGGATGCAGTTATAACACCTACTTCCAACACCCCTTTAACTCTTATTTAGCTCAAAAAAATGCATTGAAAGCAGACATAAATTTTTAGAGTAAAAACCTTTCGCATGGGTTCTGTTTGCAAGTCTCCATTCTCTGACGAGCCAAAGTCAAGTACTCCATCATCTTTTTGCCCAATGGCCTTAAGACCTTGCAGAAGTATTTCTCGGAAGTGCTGATAAACAGGTTTCTCTTCATAGTTCAGCAGCTTCACCTTTTCCATATATTTGGCTATTTCATCTAAAGAAATGGTACCTCCAATTAATGTCTATTTGAAAACATTTTAATAATTCATTTTTATGACAAAAGAGTCAGAAATTATGCATGCACCACTAATGCTATTTTTTGAAATGGTTATTTATAAACTCATAATTATGACTTTACTACAACACATTTTAGAAAAAAATTATACCAAGGTTCATTACACAGTGATGACAGCATCACTGTTTTTACATGTTCATTGCAATGAAGAAAACAGTCAGTCGTAAAAAATGTAATAGGCCAATCTTCACCAATGAATGCTTATTTACATGATATTTCTTATGTCTGTATTTTAAAATGTTTAAAAGGAAACTCAATGTTATCTCAGAATTTCATCAGTTCAAGACTGAAACATATACTAAAAAATACACAAAACATTTGACCACTGAAAAACCAGAAGTCACACTTGACAGAGAAAACTGTCACCAGGAGTAGCTGGCAATAACCAAATATTTAAGTTTAAGATCCCAAGAAAGTGTGTTTCTATTCAGCATTGGCCATTTGCTGAGTAGATTTTATTTTATTTTAAACCTGACTCTATTAGAAATAATCTAGACTTCAAGTTCACATTACTTTATATTTTGAATCTCTTAAAATTCCTTGTGATAAAGCAACTCACTAATTTCATGTTTGCAAATACTTAATACTATCTTCAGTCAGAAGCAATAGTATCTGCAGTTCATATAACTGCAGCCAAGAGCAAAAGTCTAAACTTCTAATCAAAAATCTAATTCATGCCACTTTGCTGTTGCTGATAAAGGAAGAAAAATAGGTACAAACTTAAGTAAACAAGGAGAACTTAAAGAAGTAACAGATTAGCATACAATGCCTGAGACCCCTCTCAGGAAAAAAGCTCCTGACAGCCTGACAACTCCTCACCTTTTTCAGCAACCGAATTGATCCATTTTTATTTGAATAGAGAGTAGCACACCCTTCCTTTACATGCACTCAATGTAAATAAAAATGTAAATACAAATTTCAGAGCTTCTACCAATTGTCTAAAGTTGTCTACAGTTTGGATGGCACCCAGCTTGATGGATTTTTTTAAATTTTTTTTTTAAAAGGATATTAAAACAAATTATTAGGAGGATGCTTACCAACCACATAGTACAAACCAAAGCATTTTAATTTAAAATAGTTCCTCTTACCTGGTTTATTTTTCCCAGGAAAGCATTTGTCCATCAAAACGGAAATATTATCTCTACATCTGAAAAACAGAATTATTCAAAACTATTGCTTCTTTCGAAGTTTGAATCTTGCCCTGTTCTGACAGGCTTCCTAAGTACCTGGGCCACTGTCAGAGACAGGACACACTGCTACATAAATCTTTGGTATGACTCCTTTTTAGGAGTGCAGTACATTTGAGAACCTCACAAATGCCAGACAGGTCATCTGAAATACGGTAAGTTTTTTGTTCAACAGTTTTTAATTCCTATAAAAGCAAGCAAGTAGAAGACTGTAGGAAAAGAACTCGTCCATTTTAAACCCTCGCATACTAATGCTCTCACCTCTTCCTGCTAGAGGACTAGCAGATCCCTTGCAAAAATAACTGGGGGGAAGGGGAGGGAGCTTCACTAACATCAATGGAGGCCAAAGCGTTAAAAGCGCAGATAAGGAAGAGAGAGAACAAATACTTGTTAATGTATTGGGGAGGCGACACACAACAGGAGAGGGGAACAGCAAAGGATTACATTACAGTCAGGGAAAGGGGCCAAAAAAAAAAAATTTTAAAATCCCATGTTAGTAGCCCTCTAGCTGGAATGATGGTCAAAGACATTTAAGATCCACCTTTAGCTCTCATCTCTGCCACTGACTTCAGAGCATGGTGTTATAAAGGCTACTCAAGACTCCATGCTTCAGCTGTCTTTTTGTAAAACCGGACTAACGGTTACCTGCATCACCAGAGTGGTTTTTGGCTTAACCATGGCAGTATTCTAAAGCGACAGTACTGTGGTGGTTAAACAAGCATTTCATATGCAAAAGACAACACAGAGGAGAACAGTACAAGCAAAGTTTAACTACAAGACAGGGATACATGAGACACAATGAAAGGAAACGGGGGGGGGGGCATACAAAACAATAGCCCACTCGTCAAAAGGGAACATACTGAAAGTATGAAGCATTTCTACATAAGACATTTTCATTCCCATTTTCAATTTCAGAGGAGAAAGAAAACAACTAGTTTCTCACCTGATTTTTGAGTCTCTGACAAAATTTGGATCTTTCAAATTATCCTCCCATGGTAGATGGCCACTAAGCCAATGAATCATACAGTAACCCAAGATCTCCAGATCACCACGTCTCGATGGCGCTAAATGCATATGCACACACAAAAAAAGAACTGTAAGAGCAGCTAATAAAAAAGCACACACAGCTTAAGAACAGTTAAAAATTTGTAAATACGTTAAGACAATAGATAGCCAATGCTAACAATGTAACACTACTGTATCTGTTACCCATTTGTTTACTTCAGCATGAAAACAAGGAAGAAAAAAAACACTGTTCCTACATCTGGAAGGATAACTTCATTTTCTTTCAAGTCCTTTATCAATCTCTTTCTTCTACTCAAGGATATGACATGCTGCAGTTATCCCAATTTGGGAAGCTTTCTAAGTACTCCGATTGTGGAAAAAATAGAGCAACTTAGCAAATGATTGACTTTCTGTTCAAAACATTTTTTACTTCCCTTCTTCTTTAAAAAGGTAATAGTGCTAAAACCCTAGCTCCTGGAAAATAAAAAAATCCACAATGCTGAAATATTTTATGGGGCCTGAAAATCGAACAGAGGATAATAACAGATCAGATCCCTAAGCCTTGCCAAAAAACCCCTACAAACCACCCACATGACATTGACCACAGACTACACTAGAAGTATAGATGGGCAAATCAAGTCATCTTTGTCCATGTTCAGTTTTAAGGATAGATGCAACAGTTCATCCTGAAGTAAATTATAATTTTCAACAACTGATATTTTTTCAGGACACACTTATGCTAATATAAGAAAATTTAAGAAACAAGAAAATAAAATTGGTGTTCACTATAAATCCTCAATGTTTAATCAGCCATAGACCTGTCCTTTTCATGTTCAATCTCTTCCCACTTCTTCCCTTTTGATATTCAGTGACTATAGGCATAATTATGAAATAGTACTTCATAATTAAATGACATTTCGTTTAAAAATCTTCTAAATCTTAAGCCATAAACACAATAGAGAATATTGTGCATCTCTGCCAAATACGAAGGAACAATGGTCACACTGATAACAGAAACTATTTATCTCCTGAAAACAGAGCCTGTTTTTCTATCAAGATCTCATAAGCACTATTCCATTTCCACTTAGCTGATAAAAACCAATACATTAAACACCTTAACAGTCTTTATAAACTGAGGAAATCTATTTAAGAAATTTACATTAAAAATACAACAAATTAATATCAAAGTAAAAGTAAATGGAAAAAAAGAAAAATGCAAGCATAGTCCATAGAGAAGAAGAAAATATTTTTATAGATTCAGAAATCTGGTTGTTTACAAAACTCAGTGCAGCAAGTGAAGTCTTTTGTGTCTATAAAAGGGACGTACAAATGCCTGTTGCTGAGAACAAAGTTTTATATCCTTACCCACACCCTTGTGTGCATCAATACTGGTATATTCAATAGTTCCATCATGACACCTTTTAGGATCTTCTTTATATACTTTGTGAACTCCGTCAGGACAGTATCGGTAGGCAAGTCCATAATCCACCAAGTACACCTAATAATTTCCACAAAGAATTCTAAGGTTAAAGAACTATATACACAAAAAACATGCAAATAATAAAAATAACTCCCAACCAGTCTCAGAACATCTTAAAAAGCATTAAAAACAGTGAGGTACTTCGACTTTAAGTTATCTTTTCTCAGTGCTTTATTGAAATTGCTGCATATGATTTGAAAACAACATGTCAGATAGGTTTTGTTGTTTGACGTATAGCAGCCTGATCTGGAAGTAGCTTATTGCTGATGCAGATGACAAGTACAGTAAAGCAGTCACAGTTATTGCCAGTAAGGTTAAAGGAAAGGAAAAAAATAAAATAAAGATGGAATGTTCATACAGTTATAAATACACTTACTGTCCTACTCTCTTTAAAGTCAGCTGTCCCATTTGAATACTATCTATATACTATTACTTCTCACTAACACCACGGCTACTTTAAGAGAACTGAGATTATTTTACTTATGAAATAAGCTACAACATTTGGGCAAGGAGACATGCATAATTCTGAAACTCTAATATGCAGTGTTTGAATAGTCAAGAGAGTCAAAAATGCAGAAAAATGGAAGACTTCTATAAATCAAGTGGAACAATCAACACTTTAAAGACCAATTTTTCCAAGTAACAGAACACTTATCTGACAGATTTACTGAACAAAGGAATGAGGTAACAATGCAACCAGGCAAACATAATTTACCCGTGTGCTACATAATTTTAAAGCTTCCACCTGCAAATATCTATTTGAGAGTCCTTTTTTTTTTTTTTACTTGAGAATTTCTCTAGAATATTATTTAGGGCAAATAGTCAATTTGATAACTGTCCAGCAAAATGCACCAAAAAAACATAGAATATTAACTAGATATAAATGTCAAGCAGAAATAATGTTACCATATACATTCTTAAAAATGAGCTTCTGCTAGATTTCACAGGTTCAAAGCACTTCCACGTGTTGTCTAATAGAAGGTTTAAAACATGAGGAATAAAATGCATTAGAAATACCTGATTAGGGTTCTTGTAACTCAGAAGAAGGTTTGAGGCCTTGACGTCTCCATGCACGTATTCATGCTCATGGACATATTCCAGAATATCAAGCTAACAAAACAAAATATAGTCACATAAATGCAGTACCCAGCTCCACCCAGCAGAGGACCTGTACTCAGCCCAAAAGTGCGATTTAATCAAGAGACTTACACGGGCAAGCCAGACCGAAAAAATATATTTTTTAGACTTACTATTCTCAGGCCTAATTGTAGTACAGTTTTGTGGGAAAATCGCTTTGCATTCTCCTCATATATCTTCTGAAGATCCCTGCCAAATCGGTCCATTATCATAAATCGATAACTAAATTCAAGGAAAAAAAAAAAAAAAACAGCAAAGTTACTGATTTGTACTTCACAAAGTATTTTATCTATGTGTTAATTGTACAAATTACTGATTGAAAACAGCTCTCAGAAGATAAACTGCAGGTACACAGAACACAAATACGTGGGAAATAGTTGTCTGTTCTTTTAATGTTGTACATAAATTCTTAACTTTTTTATACCAGCTAGTCAAGTTCATCCATCAAAAGAACTGCTCTTTATTCCTGGCTAGTTATACATTACAATAACAAGCACCCACAGATGAAAATGTCTATGTTGTCATTTATTATCAGCAAAACCAAGCATCAATTATTTACAGAAACATATTTTTTACTTTACAAATGACTAAGTGACTTAACATGGTTATTTAAAGTTAGTTTCTGGAAATCTATTACAACCCTTTTTTTTGACCTATTATTAAAACCAAAAATCACTCACTTCCCAAAGTTGTTCTGATATTCATTGCTATAGCCAAACTGGTTCTATTACTGTAGGAGCTCACAGTAGGTATATTAAAGAATTTCATGCATTAAACACTGAATGGAAAGAAGAGTTTATTTGGGAAAAAAAAATTGTTATATTTTCTTTTGCCTCTCAAAATTAATGTTGTTTTTACATTAGATTAGTTTTGAAGTTGAGGTTGTACTGAAACAGTATTTCTGACATACTAGGTCAGACATACAAACTGCCCTATGTAGTGGTCCACACAAAGAAGGCTGACCTACTCTAAGCTGCCAGAGAACTACTAAAACTCATTTGCAGCAAAGCTGTATAGACAAAGCCCACTAGGAAACAAGGACAGTTACACAAACAGACATATTCAAGACCAAGTAACAAAAACCCTTCGTGACATGGAATAATACTAAAAACTATCCCTAGATATAAGACAAATTTAACATGAGACTAGCAATTATTGTAGCTCAATTAAGGAAAAAAAAAAAAAAACTATCCCTAGGGAAAATAAAACAGATTTAGAAGAAGCACTAAGTCCTTTATATGTGAGTGAAAATACACTAAGTGCACACCACGTGAAAAAAATTAAAGGTACATTACATTAAAATTTGACTTAAATTAAAATACGAAAAGGCTCTAAACTACACAGATATAGCATCATGGTATTGCAGCAACGTTTGAGACAAATGGAAACTAAACCACTAGTAATATAATAGACACAAATAGGAGTTAACAGAGTACAAATAAAATATATCTATTCATCTATTCCTTAAACATACCCTGTTACAAACATGAAATTTTGTAGCAGAAGTGAACGACATGAAGATAGGTGGAAAACACATCTTACGAAGTAAGTTAGGTTAAAAGGGATAGTGTTTGTGGATGAAATAAAACCCAGCGTATGCCAACAAAAGATATATTCACCTGTTTCCATTTTTTTCATGCAAGCCAGAACCCCAGTATCTTGGTACACCTAAATATTTCAGTTTATGGGACTTAGTCCATTTCTGAACTGAAAATACAAATAAAGATAAGTTCATGAATTCACATCAGTAGAGACTTACATAAAATGGGAGTACTCACATCACTTACAGTTTCTGCATACACGTGAGCTGCTTATTTCATGGAAACTTGAATGCAAATAACACTGGAAGTTAATGATGCATTCATTGTAGGGACAGAGATGCAACTAAAGTTTCAATTTAGACAATACCATCAACACAACTATAAAGAACATCTTACCAAAGCTCCCTAATTCTACTATGTGTATGAATTGTATTTCAATAATTTAAAAATACTTTTGAAAATTACCTAACAAGATTCTCTTTAAGTTCGACCTTATTCCTGTAAGCTCTATTTTCCTAAATGCTTGTAGTTCATTAAAAACATTTTAATAGACTGCTTACTTTCATCTGGCTTAGCAGCTCGCATGTAGAACTTTAACTCAGTAAAAAGAGGTCCATTCTGGCTGGGTTCCTTTAAGACAATTTAAAATTAGTTAAAAAACACTGTGTTAGTGCCTAATAATTATTAAAAGCTCCCAAAATGTAACAATCACCCTATAAAAGTATATTCTCCCTCAAATGCTCTACACAGTGCTGATAAATTCACACAATATGTTCTTTTTATAAAAGAAGGTTGGCTCTAAAAAGTTATTTTTATTATAAATTGCTTAACATTAAGGGTATCAAAGAATCCTTTCCCATAACAAGAGATTAAAGAATAACAAATTAACTGAAATGTATGGGAATATTGCCAATAATTGGCAGCAAAAGTTTAGCAGAGAATATTAAACAACATTCATTATCTCAGATTTTCCAGATTAAAGCAGGACTGTATCAGTTGCAATAGCCATTAGTGAGCCTAAAAATAACACCTGAAATGATCTGATGGAAGTTAAAAGTTAAAATTCTTACTGAACATGAGGTATTGTTCCCTTCATACATTAGTTGTTCAAAGTAAAAATTACAGAGGATTTCATAATTTAGTGTAAGAGAAATTGTAAGAACTACACCTGTTTTGACTTTATAGAGTCTACCCTGTATTTAAGCTAACATAAGATATTTCAGTTTAATTTTCTACGGACAAATCTATGATAACCATGTATTACATGTAAAGTCCAAGAGAGAAGTTGGTTTGAAAACACCAAAGCTTTGAAATACTGCAAGAACTGCAAACAGGCAAGTACCTTGACTCTACATTTCCAGAACTTAGTGCAGAAAAGAAAAAAGTGACTTCAACTCTTGCAATCTTTAAAAGATTGATTTTGAGATAAGCTTGAACAATTCATTTTAGTCTTGTTACTCATGTATGTCCAATTTCATTCTATGTCAGTGAAAATACCTCTTTTGGAATACCCTACATTTAAAAATCTAACAAAAAAAAAGTATATGATTACTGGCAAAGGAACCCAGAAAAAATACAATCAGATGGTATTAGCAAAAGTTCCAAGATATATAACAACAACCTTAAATGGTTTTAATTGTAACTTTTAAATGCAAATATAGCAATCCAGAAAATTCCTAAAGGCCAGACTGTCCCGCTCAGCTAATAGAAGTTTTACTGCTGTCTGACAGCAAGGAAGCAATGTAAACAGACCAAACACACTGATGAACACGGGCTCCAGTGCACATCCAAAGTCCTGGCTCAGAGGCAGAGTAGGAAGATCAGTCAGAACGAGAGCAGGTGCCAGCGTAGGTACCGCTCCTGGGCCTGGGCACTTGATTACAAAGCTACTGCCCATCTCCACCTCGCTTTCTCCTGCAGCACTGCCCTGACAAACCATGGAGCCAAGACAACAGTTTTATGGCCCCTCCTTGTGGGACCAACTTTCAGACTTAAGCCATGAACCTAAAACCAAAAAGGACGCCACTAGACCAACTGATCGATGCACACAGACTTTGGTATGTGCATATCTACTTTCAGTTGGTTTATCCGCTATGGACAAATCAGTGACCTAGAGATTACATATAGAGAGGAGAAGGGTTAAATAGCTGAATTCTTACACTGCAGTTACCTCGGACAGTTACTTGTCCACTTGTTTGTGTAGCATATTCCATTAATACTTTAACTTAACTAGAATATAAATTATACATATTATTTTGATTCAATTTACCTAGGTTTGAAGAATGTTATTTTCTTTAAAAAATACAGTGAAAAACTGTAGGTGTTAAAAATTCTTAAAATATTTATCTTTAAATAAATTATTCCACAAAAAATTATGTCTCTGCTAAAAAAAAAAATAAATCTTTCTCTAGTCAGAGCAAACGCTGAAAATCTGGTATCTTTTCATACTTGAGGGGATGGATAAATGATTTAACCACAAAACAGATCTTCATATTGACTATGAAGCTGTTTCCCCATATCATTAATTCTACATGCATACGCTATGTTAAAAAAGCTCATACAACGATGTCCAGTATTTGCCATACTAGTCATCTTACCATTCACTAAAACCAGAAAGACTTCAAACACACATTTCTACAACTTCATGCTCAGGGTTATTCTAAACACACAATCTGCAAAACTGAAAGTCTAATTAAAAAAGATATCATAATGAAAGAGGTTATGGAGCACGTGTTGAAACCCAACAAATTTCTCAAGCAGTATTTTCAGAATTCTGATTTTTTTCAGTCAGCAATTTAACAAAGTGTTATTAAACCCAGCATTCACTCCTGTACAATGGCATCTGAAAGGTCCACATGTCAAAAAGCATTTCTTTTTTCATAAAAACTGTGATTCATTTTGTACTGTTCAGACATCAATACTATGAGGGTATGTCAAAGACTAAGCCACTTTCCATTCTACTTTAATAGCGTAATTTGAAGAACATTTACAATAGAAGCATATATTTTGTTAAACACTAATAATTGTTCAAAGCTGTTAACCACTTTGCTTCAGCTGACGGATCAGCTAGGAATCACCAAGGCATCAGATAACAGGCCCTTATCTGTAGCTGGGTTTTCTAGACTGTAGAGGCATAATGTGTCATGGGTCATTTGTGCAGGCAGCACAAAGACTGGGGCTACTTTTTATTGCTATGAAGACAAAATTATTAAAGTCAAATTAAAAGTGAGTAGTCATTTGGGAGATTACCAACAGGGTATTTCCAAATTGCTACAACAAAGTGAATCCAGAATAAAAGCAACCCAAAACTTAAAACTCTTCCTGTTTCCAGAGTCCAGGGTGGAGAGGAAGCAGATGGACAGGTTTCAAACTCAGGAGGAGGACACAATTACACACAGCATAAAATAATGCAAGTCAAACTGTATTCTTCCATGAAAGTTAAACGGCACTCTGCTGTCGATCAGTCCAAACTGAGCAGGAGCCCATCGTTAGGAGCCAATGCCTCTCACGGGCAAGCCGCTGCTGGTAACCTGCATGTCCGTTACCTGCCTCTAAAACAGGCCACAGCTCCTGCAAAACAGACACGCCCTGCCCTCGATGGCACAGGTTGGACATACAAAAGCAGGTTGCCACCTTGCAACAGCTGCAGGCTGGGGCTCCTGGTCTACGTGGAATTGCTGCCCACAAACACCTAAGGCAGCAGCAATGCGCTGATGTTCAAAGTGTGGCAGTTTGAGCTTTTGTCAGCAAGGGACAACATTTCGGAATGAGGATCACAGCCAACAGTATTTCGGGGTGTCTGAACAGTACCAAAGCCAGTACTCTAGAGTTACCCTGTAGTCAGCAGATATAAATATCAAGATTAGAGGCACATACTAACTAAAACGTACTTTATTCTAAATTAACTTGATCTTTTAGATTCAGGAACAAATGTCAAAAATATTAACATAATTACGTAAGTGGCCAGCTATTGCGGTAAAGCATTTCAGTGTCACCATATATTTTAATAAATAAAAGACTAAAGCACTGCAGTTCTGAAGTTGTAAAGTTCTTGCACAGTTTTCTGGTATCTGCTTTTGTCATAGGACCAGAAGTACCACCAAGATAATGAATGGTCTGGATCTACTATGGCTATTCCCAGGTTTTTTACTAAGACTTTACCACAGAATCATACATAATAGTAGGATCTATACAAAATAACCTAGCAAAATTTAAGAAAAAATACTTTATACCTTAGGAAGAGAACATTATAGCCAAACTGAGTTAACTTTTTATTTTAAGACTAAAAACATAAGAAAATTTCAACCAATAAAAAGAACTTGCTGATTTGTTACAATGGGCTAAAAATGAGCTATTGACAACACTTTGTCTTCTCCCTAATCATTAGGTTAAAAACTGTGTCAATGCCATTTTAATTCAATAGAAATTAGAACACGTATGTGTTTTATGATAAAACATTTAAAGGACTTCATATCTGTGGGGACCTCGGGAATCAAACCTTTGCTGTTTCTACTCCCAAGCCATCTGTCAGCTTACCAAAATCCAGCGGTGAGCAACAGTTCACACAGACTCACTGTTACACCACAGAAATTCTCCAAAAGCTAGCCAGATTTCATTCCTTTTGTGATATTTGGGCTGTTTACAGGAAGCAGCAAATGAAACAGAATCTGATCCATTTCACAAACTTTTCTCAACTCAACTGATGTTCCATTGTCCACCCTCATACACAGGAGTCCTAATTCTCAGCAGTATTCCTCTATATCACCACACTTTTATTTTAAACAGCACTATGCAATTGTATTATTTTTAGTCAGATGTTTTAAATTACACATGCTATTCTAGAACAAACATTTTCAAGTTGTGAAGTAAAGATTCAAACGCTTTCTTACCACTTTTGCAACATAAGGCGCATCACTGCCGACTGGCTTTGAAGAATTAACATCAGCTGTTAAAAAGGAAGCATTTATTAGTAGTAGGAGAGGAAACAGTCACAAAACATACACTTGTTTGCTATGCAGCATGGACAACCAAACGGCAAAGCAATTAAGTACAGACGTGAACATATATCGGTACCTTAGACTTTGGTAAGATAACTACTCTATACGCAAGACTACTCCGTATGGATATGGTCTTGCATTCTCCCTTCTGTTCAAGAATAGGCAGTTCACTGAATAAATTAGTTCTTTTTTATTATTCAATAACTTTTTCCTAGTCAATAGCACATCTTTCATTTTCAAGAAGTGTGATGAACACACACAGTTGTGAACATAAAGATGAAAAACACATTCTCTCTATTATTTTGCCATGTCTCACAGCCAAAAGTGACTTTCTGTTGCTACTAAGGTGTTGATATTTATGACAGAAGAAGGAGATACAGGTATGAAGGATATCAAGTTAGGCAAGCACAAAGTACAGGAACAGTCAGGAGTACGGCTTTGTGCAAATGATGGGGAAGCAAACAGAAAGCAAGCTTTGGTTTGAACAATGCAGGAATTCTTAACACAGAGAACTACACAATTTGAGTGAGCTGGAACTCCCATCTCAGTAAATTTAGTAGCTCATTGAGCAAGGCTGAGTAAGTAGTAGAGAGTTTCTTTGGCAAGAAGCCACTCACTGGTCCTGTTTTTCTTCTTAATCCACTTACGCTGCAGTCTGTTCATTTTGAAAACAGGATGGATTTTTTTATTTTTTTTTTTATCTCAGTATGAATTAGGGTGGTGAGGCACTGGCACAAGTTGCCCAGAGAAGCTGTGGCTGCCCCCTCCCTGGTAGTGTTCAAGGCCAGGCTGGATGGGGCTTTGAGCAACCTGGTCTCGTGGGAGGTGTCCCTACCACAGCAGGAGGGTTGGAACTAGGTGACCTTTCCAACCCAAACCATTCTGTGATTCTACGAATTCAGTCCAACTTTTTCACAAAGAGGAGAAAGATCATAAATGCATAGCAAAATAAAACCTTATTATGATGGTCAAATTAACTTTCATCCCTTCAAAATTGTTTGGAAAATGACTAGGGGCAATCGAGTGTTTTTAATTCCATGAGGTATCTTCAAGATCTCTCTTATCTGTTCATCTGTTCAAATAACAAATACTAAGTATGGAACACTATCCACTAAAAGAAGTTTTCCTTCAATTCAATGAACAGCACTGCAAAACAAGAACTGTGCTGATGCTTTAAACTGTGAAGTCAAAGACTTCAATTGGTTTTGAGCATTGGTTACATTAAAAAAAGTATATGACTTATGTCAGAATTTCACAAGGCAACGAAAAAGTCAAAACCAGCCAAAATACTGGCTGATCAGCAGCCTCCGTAGAATATGCTTAGACAGTTTCAGTTCAGAATTTGTGACATAGCAAAAATCCCTTCTTTTAGCCAGACCAAAAATCGAATTTAAATAAATACTAAACTATCCTTTCACTGCTAAAGAGTAATCAAGATTTTGGTTTAAAAAAATTTAATGAACTACCACTGGAATCTCATACAACCACAGTGCTTACCATGACCAGTTCTGCACTCTTGTCATTTTTTTCCAACACCATGAACCAAGCTAAGGTTCTAGTAAAAAACATCACTTGAAGACACTCTGCATTTGTAACTCAGGGTCATTTTTTCATTGCTTTGAAAAGAGATAAACTTCTCACTCTTCATTCTAAAGCACTATCAAAGATAACTACACGTACCAAGGTACAGGCGTCCAAAGCCTCCTTGCCCTACAGGGTCACCTAATTTCCATTCTTTTCTTGATGTATCTGCTAGAACCTCCCCCAGAGCAAACACTTCAGCAAGTTTCCTTTTTGCAGGAGCTCTTTTTCCAGCGGTCTTCTTATTATATGGCATTTTTCCTGGAGGGAGAGGAGGGAAGGGAAGGAAAAATAAACCAAAAAGCATAGGTTACATGCTGTACAGACTTATGTTATGTAGAAAACTGTTAAAAGAATGAAAAAGTATGGATTAAGTTTTAATTTGTTACTCCAAAGATACTTTAGAAGAAATACAGTAAGTAGTTTCATTGGCATGAATTCAAAGTGAAAAACAACTAATTTTTCCAGACATCACAAAAATATTTGACAGCAAAAAATCTTCACATGAGAAACCCATTAGAAGACCTTGTATAATAAATCCTAGAAAAATCTCAGAATCTCAATCACAACCAATCATAGGTCTAAACTTAGAAAAAAGTAAACTAATGAAATAAAGCTCATCAGCCTTCCTGGAGTGAAACCTGAATACTGAAGAAGTATCATATAGTCCAAGACGCCAGTAATAATATGAGGAACTCCTCTTAGCTGTAAAAAATAATAATAAAAAAATCCTTTCAAACAGTTAATTACTTTTCCTCCTATATAACTGCAAGCAACCAAAATGAATCTGCTTATTGTTCACAGGACAGCATTTAGTAGATCATCCACAAAATAGTACATAACTACCTATTTTGAGTTTATAAATGTAAAGGTATCACTGCTGCCTTCTCCTAGCCTCAGGTCTCAGAGTATGGGCTTGAGTTGGTTTCAACTCAGGTACTCCTCCTTTTTTTTTTTTTTTTTTTTTTTCCTTTTTTTTTTTTTTATCTTCAGGGTGATACATTGTCTTAGAGGAAGGTTCTCCCTCAATATTTTCTACAGGAAAAAAACTCGAGACTTCCAAGCACTGAATGCAAGTCCAGCTAGACCAGCTAAGACCCTACCAATGAGAACATAATGGTGTCAAAGCGCCAGAAGGAACAGAGTGGTCGGAATGGCTATGTGTTGATATCACTCACAAGAGCGGACCAAAAAGATCACAGCAGACCTTTAAGCAGCTTCTCAGGACACCCAGATCAGAAAAAGGATTAAAACAAAAGACAGACTGAAACAATTAAAAGCGGTAAAGGGAAAATAAATCTGAAATCTGGAGCTCCAAGACTGACTCAGATAAAGGGAAAAAGAAAGTGCAAAAATCAGCAGTGTTGCCTAATGACTCTGATGTGGGACAAGATCACACCCACTGTCATCTACGAAAACATGTGCAAAATGAGCATACTGTCCTCAAGCTAAGAACAATGTAAGAGACATGAGGAGGGCTTGAAAAACTGCATGCTTTGATCTCTGAGTTACAAGTGAGTCCAGTGAGACTTGGACAGATGCACTTAGGTGCTTGAATGCTGGACAGACTGCTGTCCAGCAAATGAAAAATTTGTAACCTCTTTTTCAATAAAGCTAGCAAGCCAGAGAAAAGAAGCTATTGATACGCTTCACATCTTTAACATTCACAGTGAATCTCCTGACAGTAGCCTCGCTTAAAAGGGAAGTAAGTTTGCTTAAAACAGCTCCTCAAGAAGGAGCTGGTGTTTCCTTTTTTTTTTTTCCTCTTTTTTCTTTTTTTAACATGGTCAATAATTGTATGCCTGAAGGTATTTAGTTTAAAAAAAATTAATGACAACTTCCCTTTATCCATAAAAGCAAAAATTCAAAATGGACATAAGTTTGAATGTCCCCAGCTGGGAACCCTGCCCTTAACAAATACACGAGATACACATACATGGTTTCTTGGCTGTCTATATTCATGTCCATCTGTTAAGATGGCACTGTGCCTACTTACAAGTTGGTCAAACTATCAGTAGGCCATAGGTGCCAAACACTGATTGCTTTCAGTGGGCAGCATGCACAATTCTAAGCACTCACTCTTTTGCAAAAAAGCTGTTATCCATGGAAATATTTAAGCAAAGGCTACACATGCTTTCACATTTATTTGGATAAATCCATTCAAAGATCTTCTATTGATTGAAATCAAAAACATCTGGAGACTGCAAAAAATTTCTACGCGAAAATATAGAACTGTGAAAAAAAATAAAAACCAAGAAATAACATAAAGACATAATGACATTTTAGTGCAAATTCTATAATTCTATGTGCTTTTCAACTCAATATCCAAACATGAGGAGCTTGTCACGAAGCTTACGAACCAGCAACCATGATGTAGAGCTGCCTATTGTACATTGCACAACTGGAAAAAAGTCATCTACTTCTCTTCTCCCTAAAATCACCTTTAAAAATTCAAACACACACACACAAAAAAAATCACCTTTAACTTTCCTGCATCTCAGTTGCCTCTCCTCATCAGTAAATCGAAATATTTTCTATCCCAAAGGTATTGTGAAGCTTATTTCATTAGTGCCTGCAACCACCCTGAAGTCCTTAGAAACAGAGTGCCATAGATGTCAAGTACTGCACTATCATTCAGGTATGAAACAGACCTGACCCTATTTAGCTAAGGTATCTGACAAGAACAATTTTCAAGGTGCATGATTGTAAACAGCAGCATTTTATGTGGCTACAATGTGCTCAAAACAAAGATTTTGCTACTAACAAGTATGAATAACAGAAATCTATTTGTCTAAACTCTCTCCAAAACCATTTAGTACTACAAAGGCTATTTATCCTGCTTCTCACTAATAAAACGTCTTGGAAGAAACTGAATACACTGTACTTGAGATGCGCAGACAATTTTGCATCAATAGTGCTATTAGTGGTGTTATCTTTACACATGTTGTCTGCAATGGTTGCTACTCTAGCAATACTTGAACTCTTCGAATAAATATGAACAGCCACTTCTCAATTCTTGTTGGCATCCATTCTCAATAAAACTCCAAAAGTAATATAAATCAAATTTATTTTGAAGGAAGTATTTCTGCTGTGTGGCAAGTCGGACTAGTTTCTTCCTGATCTTCCTCTTTTATTCTCTGAAAATTGTAATTTTTATGGTTGTTCATCTCAGTAGGACCTATTTTCATTCTCAACACAGAGAAGGCTTGCTGGTGACCTGTGCTCCTCTTCATGAACAGGTAGGGCCAGCAAGACCCAAAATCTATGCGTCATTAATACTGTTCATCAGCCATAGCAAGACACATAAGTCCACCCATGAAAAGAGGAAGTAAAGACAAGTAAAAAACAAAAGGATTTTACTCAAGAAGGGGAGGGAAAGAACATGCTACTAAGACTTCTGAATGCTATAGAACTGTTTCACAGGAGGTACCACTAAAAAAAAAAAAAAAAAAAAAAAAAATTACCTGAAGCATCAGTGATTTGTAATACCAAGTGAGGTAGATAGTGAACAAAGACTTTCTTGCCCAAGTTGGATATTCTGTGACTGGTCTATCATTGCATTACGCTTTTGAGTACTGCTATAATCTTGCTTCCTGGTGATTAAGACATCTGATAAATAATGGTACTTATGGAAGAAGAGGCATTAGGGTTCTTTCCCCAAGAAATAAAAAACCATCTTTTTAGACAAAATTAATAAATATACATTGGTGATCACAATTAATGAGAAGCATGTCATCACAATAGCACCACAGTGGGCAAACTAAATGTCTTTTTTTTAAACACACTGAAATGACTTTTTAAAATTTCAGAATGCAGCTGGTTCAGAGGTAGGAAATAGCCATTTACAAGAGGAATCACTGTGTTGCTGACCAATTTTAAATTGCCTTCTCAAGAACGCATTTTCTTCTCTTGAACAGTATCGAAGGTTCTGCTGAAAATCCTGAGCATCACTCAGTAAAAGAACACAGTAAGCTGTATAAAGTACCAAATCATCTGTTGCTCCAAATCACCTCACCACCAAACCAAGAGCAAGTACCTACTCATGTGAGAGAGACACTTAAAAGGCTTTTTGATAGTTTGGCACACTGCATAAAAATCAACAGCTCTGAAATTCATTGGGAATCGTACCTCATTTGGGGATTATCCCCAAGACTTAAGTGGACAGCTTATTCCTACAGAGGAAGGCACAAGTCTTTTGACACAGTAATAGCTACAGGAAGCTTTGCAACAGCTTTTATATTTTTGCTAATGATAAAAGGGGCCCACGGATTCTCTGAGAATTAATAAAAGCCTTAAGCACAAATTGAAAATCAAAGAAAACGACAGGGTTCGACCTGCCTGCAGTTGAGTAAGTCTTAAACAAGAAAGGCAAACGGCAAGAAATAGGAAGTGAAGAAAAACCACAACCACCAACAGAAAGAAAGCAGCTTAGCCCAGTTCTTGCACAACAGGCCTGTTCTGATCCCAAAATTGCAATTTTCATGTGTGATTTGTAGGTTTGTATTTAAAAAAAAAAAAAAAAGTTTTCTTTAAAGCAAAACTCGGGAACGTCTCAGCTAAAATGGTATTTTGTTTGTTAGCCACACCGGGATGTTCCTAAAGGTGACAAACCCCTGCGTGGCACTGAGTACAGCTTTTACTCCAACTCACCCACCTCGCCTTAGCACTAAAAAAAAAAAAAAAAAAAAAAAAAAAAAAAGTAACGACGAAGGAAAACAACTTAGGCCGCTGTCACCCAAGGCATTTTTAGAGCCAACCGCCCATGAAGGCAGGGGGAAAGGGGGGGGTGCAGCAGACCCCAGGGGTGAAACTGAGAGAGCTCTTATCCACCTGCCCCCATTTTCTCCCTCCCTGCCGGCCCAGGGAGATGCCTTCGGCGCCACGGGGTGGAGCAGGGAAGGTGCCTTCCCTACCCGCGGTAGCAGATGAGAGGGAGGAACCGGGCCCGAGCGGTGCCATCAGCCTCCTGAGCGAGAAAAGCAGGGAAAGC